CTCCTCCCTTTTCTCCTCCCTCTCTTCTTCCCTCCTCTTCTTTCCCTCCTCCCCCAGAGGCGGCCTTCAGCGTCTCCTCCCAGGGGAAGGTCCTGGTTCCAATCCAACCACCAAGAGGCTGCCCCACCCTCGCCTCGGCCCCTCCCTTCCTGCCTGGGTCTCGCAGTCTCTGGCCAAGGCCTTTGGCCAGCCCTGGGTTGGCCTCTGAGTGGAGGAGGCCCAGGGCTGGGGCCTAGCTCCACGCAGCAGCAGGGCTCACTGGCTGGCTCTTTCTGGGGTCTCTTGCGGGAGTCTGCAGGGGTGGGGCACATAGCTTTCTAGGGTTTCTCTGACATCAGAAACGTGTCTTTTGGGAATGGGGTGAAGGTTTCCTGAGCAGGGCTGAGTATTTCGGAATGCTGCAGTCAGCTAGGGGATGCTGAAGGAGGGCTGGCTCTGCAGGGAGGAGGGTGGGAGGACCAGATCCTAGGCGGGGCTGAGGACCAGAGAGGGGGGATTAGGGGCGTGGCTTCAGAGTACATCCTGGGCAGCTAACTGGTGAGACCCGGGGGCCAGCCAGCCCAGGACTATTTGACAGGTCTGCCTGTACTCATACAGGTCTTCAGATCTATTCCTTAAGGAATAGACTCCCCCCACCCCCACCCCCACCCCCACACACCGAGGAGTGAAAAGAATCTAGGGGGAGAGGGGAGTCTCTTCATGATGATTTGGGGAAGCCCAAGATTTTCAAAGAGATTCAGGAATTAGAATAGAGGAAACAAGATAGAGGAGTAAACTGATTTTTCTTGGTGATGGGGTGGGATGTGGAGGAATGGGGTAAGGGCCAGGTTTTGGAGTTTTCTGTAATGACTTAAGGACAGGATTTCTTTTTGTTTCCTCCTTGAAATCTGTGTATAAGGGGAATAAGCCTCTCGAGAAAGTGTTAGAGGGTGCCTCTCAGGATCAGGATGGGGTGGCTCCAGAAGAGCCTCGGGGCCAAGAAGAAGACAAAATGTCTAGATTCTGGGGGGAATGTCCCTGGCGGCTCCAAGAATCTGGTCTGGAAAAATCTCAAAGGTGCTGGGCACAGCTGCGATTTGGGGGAGGTAATAGGTTCAGTGGGTGGGAGATTCCCTCGGAGTGTTGAGTCTGATGAGAGCGACTGCTCAGTCTTTAGGGTGTTGGGGAAGCGTCCGGGGTTAGGTCACAGGAAAGGTGGGGGGGTCTCAGGCACAGGACGGGGGTGGGGGGGGCGGGACGGTCTCAAGGAGAGCTGAGAGTTGCGATCTGAGGGGATCTTTGGGGTCTCCTAGGGGGCTCAGTGATGGATCAGGATGAAATCATCTCAGGGACCCCCCAAAGGACCTAAGTTCGGGTCTGGAGGGACACCCTCCCGGGCGAGGGCCCACTACCTGGATGAACTGGATGGTCAGCGCGCTCTTGCCCACGCCTCCGCCGCCCACGACCACCAGCTTGTGTGTCTCGCTGGGCGGGGGGTCCCCGGGTCCCGGTCCCCCGCCCCGGGGCCGCCCCCGCCCAGTCCCGGACGCCGCCCCGCTGCTCATGTCGCCGCCGCTGCCGCCGCCTCTGCTACCGCCTTTGGGGGAGCCGGGCGGGACCTAGAGGCGGGCTACGCTAATGAGGCTACTGCATATTCATGAACTGCGGCCACGAGAGTTCCCGTCTCGGGCCACTTAGGGAGGGGACAAGGCCGAGAAAAGGGAGGAACTAGGGAGCTAATAAGGACCGAGGAGACGGGGAATTCCGAGGGGGCGGGCATATGTTAATGAGGGACCTGTGTTCACCCTAAACTGCGCCACGCGCTCCCAGGGGGCGGGGCGGATATGGGCGTGGCTATGCTAACGAGGGCACATTCTTTTGGCCGATGGGCCAAGAAGACCTTCGGGGTGGGGCTATGCAAATTAGGACTTCTTGAAACTTAGTTCCTCTGGTCTTAATTCTGGTAGGCGGGGCTCGCCGACTCGCGCGTGGCCGTATATAGGGCGCTCTGAGGAAAGAGCAGGTCTTAAAAGCGAAGCTCCACCTCTGTCCTGGGATCTTAGCCAAGTTCTCGAACCGGGTGTTTGGGCTAGAAGCTAGAGTCTCCGCCCGCCAAGGGACCCAGGCTTCCGGTTCCCGCAGTCCCAGCCAAACGGAAGACAGACTAGGAGGGGAGCTGGGGCCCTGGATGGGGACGGCAGAGTAACGGGGCTGGGAGGAGCCGTGAGATCACTGCATTCTTCATCCATTAGCCAGCTCGCCCCAGTCGGGATGGCCGAGTCACGAAGGGCCTAAGGCCAAGATTTCTGGTGTTTGGAGGAGCAAACTGATGGCCTGGACACATGGCTCCCTAGGAAGCGATTAGAGTGGGAGTTTTGGATTCCTGGGGGGGGAGGAGGTCTATGTGTGTATGTGTGTGTGTTGGGGGGGGGTGGTCCCTTATGTTCAGTAAGGGAGCGAACAAAGGGCATAGACTGTTGGGTGCCGAAGTTTGAAGAGGCTGAGAACCCAGAAATCTGGATCTGATATTACTGGGGAGGGGAAACCTGAATTCTAGTTTTCGCGTAATTAATGTGTTTGAGACCTAAAATGGCCTGAGGATCCGATTCGATTCCCAGGAAAGAAAACTAAGATCCCTGAGTCCAAGGGAGGAGAGAATTGGGAGTCTTTACTCTTCTAGGTGAACGCATTTAGAATTCAGATTTCTCTGTCCCGAACGAGGAGGCTCCAGAGCCCCTACTCCAGAATGTGGGCGGGCAACTTCCAGCCGGGTCGGCTAATACCGAAGAACTACAATTCCCTGGGATCAGTTCGGCCGAGCGTCTACGTCATTTCCGGTCCCACTGCCCTTTCTTCTTCCCCCTCCTCCCCTGCGCATGCACGGCACTGTGGGGCTTTACCGCGGGCTACAGCAGCCCCGCCCACTTCACCTCTCACCTCTTTGCTGTCCCCGCGCGACGGAGGCGGCGCGCGGACTACGCATCCCGACGTGCGTCGCGCGTGCCCGGCCCCAGGTGTTCGTTTGACTTCTGGGAAATCGAGTCCGCTTTCCCTCCTGCCGGCCTTCAGGGCACCGTACTTTGTACTTCAAATCCCGGCAAGCTCAGCGGCGTTTTAGCTACGCCCTTCTCCTCCTCTGCTCGCGAGCCCCGCCCCAGTCCGCCCCGCCCCGCGCCGCGGCCGGAGCCGCAGCCCGAGCGGCGGGGTAAGATGGCGGCGGCGGTCTGGGCCGCGGGACTCGGGCCTACCGGGGTGGGCGGGGCGAAGTCGGGTCGCTAGTTGTCCCCAGGTGACCCGCACACGCCAGGGGGCCTGGAGGGCTTAGCGGAGCAGTCTCAGACCCCTCAGCGGTGGCGAAAGCTGGCGTTGAACGGGGGGCCTTCTTAGGGCCCCGGGACGCGTTTGTGGGTACCAGGGGGCGTCTTCGGGCGTCCCGGAGAGACCTGGGGGTGTCCAGAGGGCCTGGATCGAGCCTGGGGCCTGCCCTCCATCATATAGCTGACCTAGGTCGTGTCGTAGGTGTTGTAGATCGTTTTTATGGGGTGACTGGAGGGTAGGGTCTGTTCAGAAGGTTTTGGGGCCATCTTGAGGTTTTGAGCTATGTCCCAGGAGAGAAGGAGGTGTGCATTCTCTGTGGAGTATCTTCAGAGCCACCTAGAGCCCCTGGGGGTATGTCTGTTAGGGCTGCGAAGTGTCTCCATGGGCTGGCCTGAGGCTGCGACCGATCCACCTAGATGTGGTGCCATTTATTGGTCTAGAAGAACTTATCACAGGGCTAATCAGAAACCCCTTTAAAGAGCCACGTTGAAGGAATGAGATGTGTCCACAACGGGAGGGAGGCCAATATCCTGATGCACTGAGAGGCCTACATGGGTCTCACAGGTCTGGAAAGTGTCTGATCTGGGTGACAGGAGGCTGGAAGCAAATCTGAAGGTCCTGGAACCTTTGAGGTGGCTTTGGTGTGATTGCAGGAATTGTCTCTATACTTGGAGTACACTCAAATGCCTTTTGAGTCTCTATAAGTACGTAGAGAATAATACGAAAGAGATGGTTGGAAATTCTGCCCAGCTCAGATGTACTTGCCCTTCAGAAAGTAATTCAAATGAAAATTGCTTGGAAACAAATGCCTTGTCCTGGAGCTAGAATTTTTTTCATGTAGGTCCGAGAAGGTGTGTAGGGTCACCTGGACTTTGTCTAGTACTGTTCAACCTTGATCCACAGTTAAGAAAAACATTTTTAATTGAAACCAATACATGCCAATGTGTGGATTTAACAGATATTCAAGTCCCCATGAATTGGTATTTCTACTTACGCTTTGTGAAGAATTTTCCATTATGTCTTATTTATTTACAACAGTCTTATAGGAAACCTTTAGCTGCTCTCAGCTCCTGTAGACAGGGAACCATCCATCTAGAGGGACCTAGCAGTGTCTGTAGAGCCTTATAATGTCTAAAAGCTTCAAGGAGCCAACGGAAGGTCTCCCCCACAGGAGTGGGGACCTATCTTGGTATGCTGTTGGAGATTGGGGACCTCCAAGTCTGTAGCCAGAAGATAATGATTGAGCTTGATTTGTGACAGTCACTGTTCCGGGGAGCAGGTGGTACTTCCCCAGAGGTGTTGGACAGCAGCCTTAGGGACGAGCAGGATATTGAGTATTGATTGAAGAGGCTGAGATGTGATTGATCATCTGGGTGGAGCAGGTTTACCGGAGTTAGGCAAAAGCCTCCCAATGTGGAGAGGTTGGGGTTCAAGTGTGTGAGTGTAGAAGCTTAGGCCCAGCTTGATATTCTATGCCACGACAGAAATGAGCTCTGAAGCCTTTTCTTAGCAGGTGTACAAGCAAGGAATTGGGGAGACAGATGGAATGCAAACAAGGACACACAGAACTAATAAGCTGGCACTGTTAACATGTTTTGAACACCTAGGCTATGCTAAGTATGTGGCTTTGAATTTTCTCGGCTAATCTCTGAGAATAAATGCTGCCCTTGCCATTTTCAAGTGGAGTTAGGGAGTATGGACTTTCTAAGAATTTGGAGATTGGATATTGTTTTCAGAGTAGCAGATTTAATAGCAGTGGAACATTCCAGCTGTACTGTTCGTATTTTCTGAAGCCCTAATCAAGATGTTCGCCAGCCTGAAGATTCCTGATTGGGCACTGAAATCCAAGAATTTCCGAGGCTTTGACCATGCTTACACAGCACAGGCATTTGGGTGATTGGCAAGTGCCCCGTTGGGTTGGTGGCAACTGTATGCCTTTCTGAAGTTTAGCCTTTTCCTTTTAAAAGTGGCCTACTGGACTTGCAGGTTTCTCTGTCATGATTCCATCTTGTGCATGTAAATAACAATTCCTCGGTCCTTCACCATTGAGGACGATGGATGCTCTATGAAGCTGTGTGGTAGCTGACATTCTGTGCCATCAGCACACTGGCACCTACCTCTTTGGGAAAGGTGGGTTTATCAGACTGTGGAACATACTCTTTTGAACTCTTTGAAATCACAACACCAACTAGCCCCAGTGTTGGGTCTCTGTCCCTTCAGAAGAGGGAACAAAGTGTGGAAATTTGGGTAGGTTTGTGAGGAGTGAAGGGGGAGGAGCTAGGGAACCAGATGTTGAGAAGGACCAAAGGAGGAGGCAGTAAAGGAGAGGACCACTCTAGACCCTGCCTGTATGCCCTGGTCCAAAGACAGGGTGGATGGGGGTGAAGTGGACAAGAGGCAGGATGCTGTTTTGAGGCAGTGGTGGAGGCCCCAAGGTCTTCAGGTCCATCCTCTACTTCCATCCCTCTCCCTCGGCCTCTACTCCAAACTGCTCCTTCTTGTCTACCAGGTGACCATGGAGGAAGAAGATGAGTCTCGAGGGAAGACGGAGGAGTCAGGCGAGGATCGTGGTGGTGATGGCCCGCCTGACAGAGACCCTACACTTTCTCCTTCTGCCTTTATCCTGGTGAGGCTCCTGGGAACCAGAGGCTGGGAAATGCTGGGAGTGTGGTTCCTGGACCAGAGGAAGGATGTCAGGGTGTGCATCTTGGCTCAGGACTTGGATCTGGCCGTCAGGGTGTCTGGAATGTTTGTTTCCCAAGAAGCACAGATGTCAGCCGGAAGCCTTCAACACATAGTCCTTCCCCTCACTATCACCTTCTTTTCCCTAGCGAGCCATTCAGCAGGCTGTGCGAAGCTCCCTCCAGGGGGATCTGCCAAGTGATAAAGGTATGGTGCATGCTGGTTCTGTTCAGCCCCCACCATTCTCTGTTCTTTCATGAGATTGTCCCAGGCCTCTGAAGTGCCTCCTTTGTCTTGTCTCCCAGGCCTGTGGTGTTCCCCACACTGGCTGCCTTTGAGAGACCCACAGGTCTAGATCAGAGAAGGCCTAGTGACATGCCAGAAGTAGTCTGGGCACTGGTATAGTTCATGGTGGGTGCAGGGGCATCTGGGGTAGGCAGGAAGGGCCTGTCCCAGAACCCAAGACCCAATAGGACTTGGAGGCCAAGTGCAGGTGTGCGGATTTTCTCCTGAGGGCAGATAGGCCTGATGGATGAGAACCCAGAAGAGGGTGCTGGGAAACCCAGGGGACTGAGCTGCGAGAGTAGGGTTTCCTTAGCAGGCCTGGCCTCCTCTCCTTCCGTCCCCAAGGCCTCTGGCTCCATTCCCTCATGCAGATCTCTCCCCCTAGATGGCTCGCGGTGTCACGGCCTTCCGTGGAGGCGCTGCCGGAGTCCACGGTCAGAATCCCGGCCTCAGGAGTCAGGGGGCACGGACACGGCCACTGTGAGTGAGAAGGGATGGTACCTGTATTCCCGGGTCTGGAGGTCTGGGGTGCTCAGCAGGGGCAGGATTAAGGCGTAGCCTGGCCTCAGCACCAGATCTTGGGCAATTGGTGGCTGTCAGGAGGCGGGGAATCACAAGTTTTCTTGTGCTTCTCATGTCTGGGAACCCCAGAGGTTAGGAACTGGGGAAATTTTGTGAGTCATCCCACCATGAAGCCCCTCCTGCCCCATTCCAGGTGTTGGACATGGCCACAGACAGTTTCCTTGCGGGACTGGTGAGCATCCTGGACCCCCCAGATACCTGGGTTCCCAGCCGCCTGGACCTGCGGCCTGGCGAGTGAGTACCTGGAGAGCTGGTGTGGGAGCTGCCCCCTCCCTCTTTCCCCTCCACCACTCCCTTCACACCCCGTCTCCCCAGCTCATCCACTACTTTGCCTTGCAGAAGCGAAGATATGCTGGAGCTGGTGGCTGAGGTCCGAATTGGGGACAGAGACCCCATCCCTCTCCCTGTGCCCAGCCTGCTGCCCCGTCTCAGGGCCTGGAGGACAGGCAAAACGGGTATGTGGGGGTTGAGGTGGAGCTGGGCAGGTTGTGCAGGCTTCGTTACCACTTTCATTAGTCGTGGTAGTGACCATTATGTCCTTCAGACAGAAATCTTCACATGGGCTGGGAATGTGGCTTAGTGGTAGAGTGCTTGCCTAGCCTGCATGAAGTCCTGGGTTCGATTCCTCAGTACCACATACACAGAAAAAGCAGGAAATGCTCAAGTGGTAGAGGGCTAGCCTTGAGCAAAAGGACAGTGCCCAGGTCCTGAGTTCAAGCCCCAAGACGGGCCCCCACAAAAAAAAAATCTTCACATGTTAGATTGCAGTAAAAGTCATATGTGCATGCAATTTGGATAGCAGAGGCAGAGGCTCAAGGTTTGAGACTATCACGGGCTACCTAACCAGATGGTATCTGAAATGAAAAGACATCGAGGCCTGTGCAGGTGCAGGTGTAGCTAAATTAAAGGCCATGCAGGATGGAGCAGTGGTGTCCAGGGCCCCATGTGCTGGGAGTTCCTCATGGTGTCTTCATCCTCCCGAGGGGCTACAGTCTGAAAGTGACATGTCACTGGCTTGAGGGTACCTCGCAAGCCTTGATCCATGGTTCATCGTGGAGAGAGAATCTATTTCCAGAGTTCACAGGGTGGCAGTCAGCCTCGCTTCTTCCTGCAAAGAGCAGCTGGTGGAGGGCAAGGCTCTGGGTCTGGAGGTGGCGTTTGGTCTGAACCCTAGCCCATTCTGCTGGGGGGGACCCTGCCCTTGGGCTGAGCAATTCCTAGACTTGAGGGCCAGCATGCGATGCATGAGGTCAGGCAAGCACACCATTTGGTGGCCTGAGAGTGCTGGCTGTTATTTGGTTGCTTGACTTTGAGGAAGATTGTCTAGCTGTGTACCTCAGTTTCTTCTTGTGCCCATGGGTTGCAGCTCCTACAATGGAGTTAGAGCATCCTCGAAGTGGCTCAGCTAAAGCTCCTGGGCAGTGCCTGGTTCCACAGCACTGCGGGGACCCGTGCAGCTGGGGCCGTGATGGGTGCCGCTCTGCTCATGGCCAGGGAGGAGTGAGTGCGCTCCTGACCCAGCTGTCTGTCTGTCTGTTTGCAGTTTCTCCACAGTCCCACTCTTCTCCACCCGCCTGTGCCCACCACCTCCTAACCTTGGGCACTGGGGATGGGGGCCCCGCCCCCCCACCTGCCCCCTCCTCTGCCTCCTCCTCTCCTTCTCCTTCCCCTTCCTCATCTCCCTCTCCTCCTCCTCCCCCACCTCCCCCTGCGCCCCCAGCCCCGCCTGCCCCCCGATTTGACATCTATGACCCTTTCCACCCCACCGATGAGGCCTACTCCCCACCGCCGGCTCCTGAGCAAAAGTATGACCCCTTTGAGCCTACCGGCTCCAACCCCAGTTCGTCCGCGGGGACCCCTTCACCGGAGGAAGAGGAGGAGGAAGAGGAGGAGGAGGAGGAAGAGGAGGAGGAGGAGGAAGAGGAAGGTCTGTCGCAGAGCATCAGCCGCATCTCAGAGACCCTGGCTGGCATCTACGATGACAACAGTCTGAGCCAGGACTTCCCAGGTGACGAGAGCCCCCGCCCCGAACCCCCGCCTCCGGCCGCGGGGCCCGGGACTCCGCCCCAGGCGGACTCCACTCGCGCGGAGGGAGCCACGCGGAGGCGCGTCTTCGTGGTGGGCGCCGAGGCCGAGGCGTGCCGGGAAGGCAAGGTCTCCGTGGAGGTGGTGACGGCCGGGGCCGCGCTGCCTCCGGCCCTGCTGCCCCCCGCGGACTCGGAGATCGAGGAGGGGGAGATCGTGCAGCCCGAGGAGGAGCCCAGGCTGGCGCTGCCCCTGTTCCGCGGCGGGCGGCCGGCCCGGCCTCCGCCGGCTCCCGCGGCCACAGCCGCACCCGCCCCGCCGCCGCCTCCGCCTGCTGCCGCTGCCGCCGCTGCTGCCGCCGCCCGAGCCCCGGAGGGCGACGACTTCCTGTCCCTGCACGCTGAGTCGGACGGCGAGGGTGCCCTGCAGGTGGACTTGGGGGAGCCGGCGCCTGCGCCCCCTGCCGCCGACGCCCGCTGGGGCGGCCTGGACCTACGCCGCAAGATCCTGACCCAGCGGCGGGAGCGCTACCGCCAGCGCTCGCCGTCCCCGGCCGCCGCCCCTGCGCCCGCGCCCGGCGCCGGCCCGCCCGCCCGCAAGAAGTCCCGGCGTGAGCGCAAGCGCAGTAGCGAGGCCAAGGAGGCCGCCCCGGGCCCCGGCGCCCCGCCGGCCCCCGCCTCGCCCTGGGACAGCAAGAAGCGCCGCTCCCGCGACCGCAAGCCCAGCTCTCACGCCGCCGCCTCCGCCCGCCGCCGCTCCCGCTCCCGCTCCCGCTCCGCCCGCCGCCGCTCGCGCAGCTCCGATCGCCGGCGCGGGGGCCGCCGCTCGCGGTCCCGGGAGAAGCGGCGCCGGCGGCGGCGCTCAGCGTCTCCGCCACCGGCCACCTCGTCGTCGTCATCCTCGCGCCGGGAGCGGCACCGGGGCAAGCACCGTGATGGCGGCGGCAAGAAGAAGAAGAAGCGCTCGCGCTCCCGGGGCGAGAAGCGGGCGGCCGACGGGGGCGAGAAAGCGGCGGGAGGCGGCGGGCCGGCGGCGAGCTCGGCCGAGCGCGAGGGCCGCCGCCGCGGGGCCGTGCCGCCCTCCATCCAGGACCTCACGGACCACGACCTCTTCGCCATCAAGCGGACCATCACGGTGGGCCGGCCGGACAAGCCCTCGCCGCGCGGGCCCTCGCCGGGCCCCGCCGCGTCGCCGCGGCGCGAGGTGCTGTACGACTCGGAGGGCCTGAGCGCCGACGAGCGGGGCAAGGGCGGCGACAAGGAGCGGCGCCGCGCCGGGCCCGCCGCCGCCGCGTCCTCGTCCTCCTCCTCGCGGGACAAGGGCTCGCGCCGCAAGGGCCCGGACGCGGCTGAGCGCGAGCGGGAGCGCGACCGCGACCGGCCGTCCAAGAAGGTGCGGCCCAAGGAGGCGGCGGCACCGCCCGCCGGGCCCCCGAAGTCTGCGGCCAGCAGCGGTTCGGGCTCATCTTCATCCTCGTCGTCCTGCTCGTCGCGGAAGGTGAAGCTACAGTCCAAGGTGGCCGTGCTGATCCGCGAGGGCGTCAGCAGCACCACCCCGGCCAAAGACACCGCCGGCCCCGGCTCCATCGCCGTCAAGTTCAGCCGCGACCGCGAGAGCCGCTCGCCCTTCCTCAAGGCCGACGAGCGGGCGCCCGCCGACGCCGCCAAGGCCGCCGCGGGCAGCGCCAAGCCCAAAAAGACCAAGGCCAAGGCCAAGGCCGGGGCCAAGAAAGCCAAGGGGACCAAGGCGAAGACCAAGCCGTCCAAAACGCGGAAGAAGGCCCGCAGCGGGGGCAGCGGCGCGGCCGGCGGCCCTGGAGCCCTGAAGAAGTCCAAGGCGGACAGCTGCAGCCAGCCCGCGGGCCCCAAGGGCGCCGAGGAGACGTCCTGGTCCGGGGAGGAGCGCGCGGCCAAGGCCCCCAGCACCCCGCCGCCCAAGGCCGCGCCCCCGCCGCCCGCGCTCACCCCGGACTCCCAGACTGTGGACAGCAGCTGTAAGACCCCCGAGGTCTCCTTCCTGCCCGAGGAAGCTGCGGAGGAGGCTGGGGGCCGGGGTGGGGAGGAGGAGGAGGAGGAAGAAGAAGAGGAGGAAGAGGAGGAGGAAGAGGAGCAGCAGCCCGCCACCACCACAGCCACCAGCACAGCCGCGGCTGCCCCCAGTACTGCCCCCAGCGCGGGGTCCACAGCCGGAGACTCGGGGGCGGAGGACGGGCCAGCCGCCCGCGTCTCCCAGCTGCCCACGCTGCCCCCACCCATGCCCTGGAACCTGCCGGCTGGTGTGGACTGCACGACCAGCGGTGTCCTGGCCTGTGAGTGTGAGGATGGGAGGCAATGGGGATGCCCTGTAAGAGTGGGTACCTCATGATGTGAACTGGAGAGCTACTGGGGGGAGGGGGGCACCAGAGCTTTCTAGAAGGCCAAGTTAGGCTTTTGGGAAAGAGTGATTAGATAGGACTGGCCAGAAGCCCAGGACCGTGAGGCCCACTGAGCTCGGCCAGGGCAGAAGAGATGACTTTTGCCGGGCAACTTGTCCCTTCGGGATGGCAGAGGTGTGGGAGAGGCTAGGACTGGCCACAGGTTGGCTCAGGCTATCACTCTTGTCACCTTGTTGTCACTGTGACTCTTATCCCGGGAGTCCTAGAGACATGGAGGGTCCTTGGTGATTGGCTTAGTGGCCGAGGTCCCATTGTCCATACGTGAAGTCTTCTGGCCTGTCCTGGGACCAAGGGTGAGGGACAGACAGCAGCAGGTGGCTGGGTGAGGGGCATCTCTTCTGGTACCCTTTTCCCAGCCCCATGTTCACACCTTCCTGCCCCCTGCAGTGACTGCACTTCTCTTCAAGATGGAAGAAGCCAACCTGGCAAGTCGAGCAAAGGCCCAGGAGCTGATCCAGGCCACCAACCAGGTGGGCTCCCTTGGGGAAGAGTCCCCGCAGCCCTTTCTTTTGTTCATTGCCTGGGGTTAGGAGAAAACTACAACTCCCAGCAGGCTTCAGGGCAAGGTATTGGCCACAAGAGGAGCCCAACACCCCTCAGACTGTTGGGAAGTCACAGTGGAAAGGTGGAAACCACAGGGGACGGGTACAAGTCCCATCTACCCTATCCCACCACCTTTTGTTTATCTCCCCACTTCTCCCCACAGATCCTCAGCCACCGGAAGCCCCCCTCCAGTCTAGGGATGACCCCAGCTCCTGTACCCACCTCTCTGGGTCTGCCCCCTGGGCCCTCCAGCTACTTGCTTCCTGGCAGCCTCCCCCTGGGGGGCTGCGGCTCCACCCCTCCCACTCCCACTGGGCTGGCAGCTGCGTCTGACAAGAGGGAAGGCAGTAGCAGCTCGGAGGGACGTGGGGACACAGACAAGGTGAGCTAGCCTCAGGGATTGTGGGTTGTCACTAATGGGCAGTAGGAAGAGATGAACTTTGGAAATGGAAGACTAGGAAAGGGTTCTGGGCAGACATAAAAGGAAAGTACATATTTATATCTATCTAGTATGTGTGTGAATGTGCGTATGTTCAGAGATCTACACCTGCACACTCGTTACTGACAATCCTCCCTGCTAGCCTGAGTTCCTGGCTGCTGCCCCTGGTGCTCTGCTTCTAGCCATAGCACCGCCTCTCAGTGACCCTTGGTCGTCCACCTAGGCTGCTCTTAACTGTAGTCTTAACTGTTGCAGTCAGAGTAAATACTGGAGTTGCTGGCCATGGTGGTGCCTGCTTATAATTCCAGCTACTCAGCAAGCAGAGGCAGGAGGGCTTCAAGTTTGAGACCGCCCTAGGCAAAATTATTACAAGGGTATCTCAAGTGGTAGAGCTTCTTTCTAGCAAGTGAGGCCCTGAGTTTTATCCCTGGTACCAAACCAAAAGCTAAATGAAGCTGAATACAGTGGCTCACACCGGTAATCCTAGCTACTCAGGAGAATCACAGTTTAAGGCCAGCCTAAGCACAAAAAGTTGGGGAGACCCTGTCTCAACTGAGCAGCTGGGCACAGTGTCCTGTACCTACCTCAACTCAGCGGGGCACAGTGTCCTGTACCTGTCATCCCAGGTATAGTTGAAATAAAAACAGGAAGCTAAAGGTGTAGGCCAGCTTGGGTGTAAATATGACCCTATTTGAACGATAATGGGTTGAGGGGATAGCTCGGTGGTGAAGCATCTGTGTAGCTTGTGTTGACTGCCTGGGTTCCTCGCCCAGTTGCACAGCAAAACAGTACCAGTCATAATGGCTTGGCTGTTGCCATCTGCCCCCACACTGAGGGTGGGGGACATGTGTCCTGGTCTTGGCTGAGCCAGGACAAGTACGGCAATGAGAGCACAGGGCAGACCTTAAGCAGGATGACTAATGCTTCCTGGAGCAGCTGGAGGGCCAGGGAGGCTAAGGTGGTAAGTGGAGGCAGAGGACCGTGGAGGCCTTCATCCGGAGCTGCTGTGCCTTTCTCCCACCCGGTCCCCACTCGCCAGTATCTGAAGAAGCTGCACACCCAGGAGCGTGCAGTGGAGGAGGTGAAGCTGGCCATCAAGCCGTACTACCAGAAGAAAGACATCACCAAGGAGGAATACAAGGACATTCTGCGGAAGGCAGTGCACAAGGTGGGCGCCATGGCCAAGGGGTTCGTGAACCTGGAGGGGAGGGGTTTGGGGGGACAGGCCACCTGGGCCTGTCATCAGAGTGGCATTGAGGGAGGGGGCCCTGGCTGCAACTCTAGCTGCTTCCCCTCCAGATCTGCCACAGCAAAAGTGGGGAGATCAATCCGGTGAAGGTGAGCAACCTGGTGCGGGCCTACGTCCAGCGTTACCGCTACTTCCGCAAACATGGGCGCAAGCCGGGGGATCCCCCAGGACCCCCCCGGCCATCCAAGGAGCCAGGACCCCCTGACAAGGGTGGCCCAGGCCTGCCCCTGCCCCCTCTGTGAGCCCCCATCCGTCCCTCCTGCCCCTTGCCTCTTTGAGATTCTGGACATATTTATGGCTCCACCTCCCCACTCCCCTCCCCCATCAGTGGGATGACTGGGGGAGGGTTGCTGCAGGGAAGAGGAGAGCCCCCTGCCCCACCCAGCCCCCTACCCACCTCCTCCGTGCCCACGCCGGCCCCATTGCCCCTTCCTTGTTCGTGCCCAGTTCCCAGTTTCATTAAAGATTTCATGAAATGTAGCCCCAGCCCCATAATGCTAGCCCTTTCTTTTCAGAGACAAATTTGGGGGGTGAAGGGCAGGACCCAGAAGGTGCTGCCTGTCAGGCCAGGGAGCAGCGTGCAGGCTGCTGGGCAGGTGCAGTGCCCTCGGCCCATTTCCTCATACACAGTGGCAGAATCACAGACACAGGTGGTAAAGTGCAGTAGTTGGATGTGGATAAAGTGGGTGACTGGGATCCCAGCCCCCTACCCCCTCCAGGCCCCCAGTGCCAGAATTGCCCCATCTGCAGGAGCCCTTTGAGCTGATTGCTTTTCAGCAGTTCTGTAGGCTGCTGGTGGTCTAACCGAATCTGCTCAGGGGGAAGGGAGCAGGGCCCAGGGCCTATCAGGCAGCATGGCTTCCATTGGTCGCCCCTTACCCTGAGCCGCAGCCCATCAAGGAGGGGTAGCAGGCCCAGAACCCCTGCCCAGAAAAGAACCTGAGGTTGGAGTTGGGCACCAGTGGCTCATACCTGTACTTAGGAGGCTTAGAGCTGAGGATCGGGGTTCAAAGCCAGCCTGGGCAGGAAAGTCTGTGAGATTCTTATCTCCAATAAACCACCAGGAAACCAGTGGCACTGTGGCTCAAGTGGTAGAGCACTTGCCTTGAGCTGTAGAGCTAAGGGACAGTGTGCCCAGGCCTAGGGTTCAACCCCACGACTGGGGGGGAGGGAGGGAACCTGAGGCTGAGGCCAGAAAGGGGCCCAGGGTAACTGGATCTAAGCAAACCCTTTCTAGGCAAAGCAGAGCTCCCCCCTAGTGCAACCCTGGAATCCTCACCTTCCACCAGGTCTCTGGAGCAAGAAAGGGGGCAAATGTCAGCTGCCCCCTGCACAGTGCCTGGTTACCAAGCATTGCTGCATAGGTAAACTGACAGCTGGGCTGGGACACCCAATGCAACACACCCTGTGACTATAGCAGGAATTGCTTTATTGGTCCCAGCAACCCCAGGCTTGGGCCTCCAGGAGCCTAGACCTCCATGTCTTCCACCAGGTCCTGCAGGTAGGCCTTGTACTGGTCCGATGAGAGGGAGAGGGGTTGGCTGTTGGAAATGTGCAGGTCCACGGTGTTCTCCAGTGAGGAGGCCCCCCCCAAGCGGGCCATTTCCAGAAGGGCCCTGAGGCATGTGGGAACAACCTGTGGGGGCAGTGCGGAGCCCAGTCAGGCAAATTGCCCACCTACCCAGTTCCATCAGCTCCCCAGTTTAATTTGCCCACACGGAACCACCAACTATAAGGCATGCTGGGAAATGTAGTTTTTCCCTCAAGGGAGACCAGTATTCCTAGGGCTGAGCAGCTGAGGGTGTGTTAGAGAGGGGGCTCAAGATGGAGGTCTAAGCCAGGCACCAGTGCCTCACGCCTGTAATCCTAGCTACTCAGGAGGCTGAGATGTGAGGATCACGGTTCAAAGCCAGCCTGGGCAGGGAAGTCCGAGAAAGTCATATCTCCAATAAACCACTCGAAAACCGGAAGTGGTGCTGTAGCTGAAGAGCGCAAGGACAGCGCCCAAGCCCAGAGTTCAAGCCCCATGACGGACCAAAAAAAAAAGATGGAGGTCTACCAACTACAGGAGCTAGAGATGTCAAGTCAGGCTTTCTAGTGAGATCACCAACTAGTGACCCGAGACCTGTGAAGTTGTCCTTTCCCCAGGGGATTCTGGGAGTTGTAGTTCCTGGAGCTATAACTTTTCTAGGTTAAGACCACCTGCCAGCCCCAGGAGTCTGGACAGCAGGCACCTTGACCATCACGAGCCTCTTGACCCACGGCTGGTCCCGAGGCCACGCCTCTCCCACACAGAACCAGAGGGTGTAGCGTGGCGAACGTCTACTTCCTTCCATGAAGGCAATGAGATCTAAAGGCACAGAAGTAGGGTCAGAGAAGGGAAGAACACACTTGACCCACTCCCAGTCCCACTCTCCCGTGGCGAAAACCCTTTGCCACTACAAATGGGCTGCCGGTCTGAGGAAAGCCTCTGCAACTCTGGCGTAAACTTAAAATGTTCTCCCTCCTCCCCATCAGGAGGCTGGGGGGGTGGGGTGAGGGGGAGGGATGGGACTCCGGACTGCCCCTCCCCCTGCCTACCCAGAACCTCAGCCATTAGTTGATATAGGAACTTTTTTGACATACTGAACTTTTTGCCCAGGGGCTGGCTTTGAACCCTGATTCTCTGATCTCTGCTTTCCAAGTAGCTGTTATTACAAGCCTGAACTAGCTCTTCTGGCTGGGGAATTTTATCTTCCTTGACTGGATGTTTTGGTGCTAGGATGGCGCACAGGGCCCTGTGCATGCTAAGCAGGCACTGCACAGCTGAGCTGCACCACAGCCCTCTCGTTTCTTTTTTTTTGGGGGGTGAGTTTTTTGGTCGGTTGTGGGGTTTGAACTCTGGGCCTGGGCACTGTCCCTCAGCTCTTCAGCTCAAGGCTAGCACTCTACCACTTGAGCCACAGCACCACTTCCAGCATTTTCTGTTTATATGGTGCTAAGGAATCGAACCCAGGGCCTTATGCATAAGGCAAGCACTCTATCACTGAGCCACCTTCCCAGCCCCCCTTCCATTTCTTTGGGTATCCCCTGCCCTGATGACCGTGATGGGCAGCCTTCTCTGTACTGAGCCCTGAGCTACACAGGAGTAGCCTTCTGCCCCAGCTCCCTTCGCCACCATGCCCTTGGCTTCCTATGAGGGGGGGGCTCACCTGTCACGAAGGGCGCTAGGTTGAACACGTCTGCATCCTTGTCCTTGGGGACCTCACCATCATGCCCGTGCCCGCTGTTGGGGAGCAGCTCCTCCCCTATGGCCCAGTAGGCATGGGAGTGTCCCAGGCGACGGCTCCACAGCTGCTGCCCAGCCCGCCACAGAGCCAGGCCACCCTTCAGGCCACTGAGCACGTGCCTCACGAAGTCCTTCACTCCCCTGTCAGACAGCGACAGCCCAGGGTCTGGCAGTGCTATTGGCTGCCAAGGCAGTGTCGGGTCCACATCCTCTGAGCCCACCAGCCGCAAGCCCTGGGGGCAGAAGACGTTCCGCTGGAAGACTTGCCGGCCTCGGTAGAAGACGGTCACCTCGAACTCCCACTCTGACCAGCAGCAGCAGCAAGGAGGAGAGAGACAGAGAGGGCCAGAGTAAGGGCCACTGTCCTACTGCAGTCCCCCCACCCTACAGGTGGCACTCACGTTCCTCAGACACCAACAGCAGCCTCAGTGGGTTACCAGGGGGTGCCGGGTTTGGGTGGGGCATAGAATTGTTCAACAAGACCTGAGGGTAGTGATCAGGGGCCACAGCCAGGCCCGAGGCACCCTCTTGTGGGAGTGAGGCCAATGCCATGTCACCCAGCAACTCTAGGAGGTCTTCCTGGAGAAAGAAAAAAAACAAACATTTCAACAGGCTTTTCTGGATCAGCAAATGGGAGACTGGAGGGGATGAAATGGGGGTCCAAGGGGAGAGGACAAGGCCTGAGCAGGCCTAGAGGATGAGGCTAAGGTAGAAGCTGCGGGGTAGGGGGACTGGGTGTAATGTCACCTGGGTGTCTGGGGTAACGCCTCCAGCATCAGTGTCTGGAGAGGTGTCAAGCTGAGGAGAGTCTCCAGCCTCTGTGGAGAGAGATGTGAGCAGAGTAGGGGCAGAGAGCACTACAGCCCCTTCAACACCTCCAAATGAAACTCTGCTTTGACATACCTGATGAGTCCACAAACTCGTAGACCTTATGCGGGTCATAGGGGTCCTTGCTCCGGTCCTCAGTGAGGCGTATCCCTTCCTTCCGATTCAGGGCAGACCGGAAATTTCTCTTCCAGGTGGGCAGGTCTGGCTTGTCTTTCCCAGGAGTGTAGGCACCGCTGGCCTCCGCCCAGGCCTGTAGCACAATGGTACCCAGATGCTCCTAGAACCCTAACACAGCCCACAGGACTTTCCAACTCTGCAAGGCACCACCCCCAAATTGTTGTTATCCCAATATCCTCCCTCACCGCCCCCCCCCACCTATGCCTCTAGTTTTCAACGTTTGTATCCTAGCTACTCAGAAGGCTGAGACCTGAGGATCATAGTTTGAAGCCAGCCTGGGGAAGGAAAGTCTGCAATACTCTGATTTCCAATTAACCACCAAAAAACCAGAAATGGAGCTGTGGCTCGAATGGTAGAGTGCCAGTCTAGAGTGAAAAACCTAATGGACTGGCTGGGCACTGGTGGCTCACGCCTGTCATGCTGGCTACTCAGGAGGTTCAGATCTGAGAATCCCAGTTCAAAGACAACCCTGGCATGCCAGAAAGTGCGTGAGATTCACATCCAACAAATGACTCAGAAAATGCCAGAAGTGAAGCTGGGGCTCAAGTGGTCAAGAACTAGCCTTTGAGCACAAAGAGGGTCAGGGACATTGCCCAGGCCCTGAGTTCAAACTCTAGGACTGGCACTGTAACTCTGTCAGTAGCATCCCATCCTGCTTCCCACCAACAGGCCCTGAACCTGCGGGTCCCTACCCTCAGGTTCAAACCCCACCCACCCCACATTAGCATGAGCCCGACCCTGGAGCGGTAACCCCGCCCCCTCGAGGCAGCCCAGCTCTAGCAAGGTTTCCCGCGCACCTGGAAGATGCCGAAGTCCACCAGCTGTGCGTCCTGCCGCAGACCGTGCTTCCAGGGGATTCGGAAGCGTCGGCGGTTCGCGTCCAGCCAGGCCACGCCTTCCAGCCGCCCCTGGTCCAGCTGCGATATCAGCCAAGGCAAAATCCGCGGCTTTTGGGTTCCCATGGTCCGGCCTAGGCGTGCGGGGCGGTTCCTGAATGCGGGCGCCCTCTGGAGCCCACCGGGCCTGAGGGTAACGCGCCTCGGTGTAAGCTCCCCGCTCCCACCGCCCCCGTCGCATGTTTTCCTGGGGGTACAAAACTCCAGTCTGCTCACGCCATCCTCTAGAGACTCTCCCTTAGTCCCACATCCAATGCAGACCCCACCCCCCTTTCCTCCTCAGCGCGGCCCCTAGATGCCGCCAGGGCAGATCCCTCCATCCCGCACGCGTCCAAGGCTGGAGACAGGACCCCCACCCCTCGCGATCTCTGAATCTCTGAGCAGATGCGGACCCCACATTTTGCCCTGATGTAAGCCCCCTTCCCCACCGAGGACTCTCCTCCCACCCCCCATCTGCAAGACGGATCTCCCTCCACAACCGCCCCCGAACAGCCTCCGGGAAGAACACGCCCCCATTTTCCAGAATGTTGTTTCCCTGTGTCAGAGAAGCGCTCCCCCCCCCCAGCCCGTGTAGAACCCTCCCCTCCGTCTCCCGCCCCACTCGGTCTAGTTTCCCCAGGGCCAGCTGTTGAAGGTCCCTCCAGATTCAGGGACGTCCCGTCCGGTTTCTCAATCCGCCCAGTCCCGAACTCTTCCGCCTTCCCTACCGTGGAGAAGTCGGGCGCGCACGGCGCTCGGGCCCACCCCGGTTTTGGGGGGTTGCAGGTAGCTGTCAGACTCGAAGCCGTGCAACCCGCTGCTTGTCAGCTAATGTTCCCGGCGCTGGGCCTTTTCGTCTCGATCGATTTCTCGAAATACAAACTTTTTCATGTTTCGGACGACACACTTGAAAAACCAAAAGTGGGTTCGGAAGAGTCGAGTCCATCCTCCCGCCCCACCTCCTCGTGACCTTTTTTGGACTTCCTGCCGCGGGCATGCTGGGAACGTCATATGCAAATAACCAGGCACGCGGTATTCCCCACCCACCCCCGCCGCTTCTACGTTGGGGCGGTTACCAACTCGATGCAGTGCGCAGGCGCGGGAAAGTTGAACTGAGAAAAAGTTTGTACAATTTGAATAGAGACCGTGGAGGGGACTAAGATACCGGCGGCGGGGTTCCGGACCAGGTGAGCTGCGTGTCACGGGAGAGGCTTGGGGAGGAAGGGGCTGAGGTTCAGGAGTGGCCATCCCCAGTCCTGCTTCTTTGGCATCCATATCTCTAGGATCCCCCGAACTCACGCCTGAGTTGGATAGTGGGAACTACAGCTCCCAGCAGGCTGCGCGGGAAAATAAGCTCGGATCAAGGGAACTGTTTGCCGCGGAGCCTACTGGGATTGGTAGTTCTCGATTCTCTGGGGCTCTAGCAGCTTTGCTTGTGCCCGCCGAAGTCTGAACTTTGAAGCCTTCTGCTCACTCGAGGATCCAGGAGCACAAGTTTCCAACCATCTCCTTTTTTGAATTCAAGAATCCAGACTCTTCCTTTCCCTAAATAAATCAGGCCTCAGACCTCAATCCCCACTCCCCTCACCCCCCAGGAGCCCCCAAACCTCAACTTTCCTGCTGAGTTCAGGAACTCGAAAGTGCTTGGGAACGCTCAAGTCCTGACCTCCTCTTCGTTTAGGGACTAGAAGTCCGGGCTGTAAGCCTCCTCTTCATGATGAACCTTGGCTCTGTCCATTCCCTTTCCCTCACCCACAGGTACCTCCATGGCAGGCTCCGAAGAACTGGGGCTCCGGGAGGATACACTGAAGGTCCTAGCTGCCTTTCTTAAGCGGGGAGACACTGCCGGGTCCCCTGTTGCAACCCCGCCGAGGTGAGAAGAGTGCTGTTCTGTTCCACGCACAGGGCCTGCACTTGGGTGGACGGTCTTGTAACTTTGGCCCCTGATCTCCGCCTCTCTCCTTTCTTCATGCCTCGCTATAGCCCCTGTCTTGGGTATTTCAAATGCAAAGGGTCTCTTTGCAAGGGATGTTTGGGGGTCACTCTCTGAAGTTTCACTTCCTCCCAGGATCCCTCACCAGGAGGAGCCGACAGATTTCCTGAGCCGTCTTCGAAGATGTCTTCCTTGTCCTCTGGGGAGAGGAGCCGTTCCACCTGAGTCCCCTCGACCTTGCTCCCTGCCCATCCAGCCCTGCTATGGTTCAGAGCCTGGTAAGAGATTTCCCCAGGTCATCTGCAGAAGCTGGCATGGCCGGGAGCGTTAGTTCCTAAAACACAGACAGGATGCTATCATTTAGTCAAGGCTCTCCAGCACATCATCATCCTGTCTTACCTTCCACCCCAGATTTTGTCAATTCTGTGTGCTACCTGGTTGGGGATATGGCCTCTGCCTAGCTAGTTATTATCTCTAGCTAATTATTATTCTTGCCCCCTAGGGAGGCAAGCCCCTCTGGTAGCTACAATAACCTCAGAAGACAGGCAGAGACTTGGTTTCAATCACAACTTCCTGGCTAGTATGTAGTAGGACTCTAGGAGCAATCCATTTTCTCCCTAGCTCCTCTGTTTTTTTTTTTTTCTTGTTTTTTCTTCTAGTAGCAGGGTAAGAATGGAGTAAGGAACTCAGGGGCTAAGTTCTGAGGATCACGGTTCAAAGCCAGTCCAGGCAGGAAAGTGTGTGAGACTCTTATTTCCAATGAACCACCAGAAAACTGGAATGGGCCCTGTGGAGAGCGCTCACCTTGAACTGAAGAGCTCAAGGACAGCATCCAGGCCCAGAGTTCAAGCCCCATGACCGACCAAAAAAGGAAGAATGGAGTAAGGAATCATTGGACTTGATCCAGTGACAGCCAGGTTTGCTTTCATAAGCTAATAATATCTTCGAGGTGTACTAGCAGTAAAAGGAATTTGCAGGTGGAGAGATGAATGATGATGTCTAAAATGGGAGAGGGTTAGGATGGTATTGACAATGTGTCTTCTGTTTGCCTTCTTGGATAATAATCATCCCTAAAATAATTATTTCTTCTTCTGCTTCTGCTTCTTCTTCTCTTCTTCCTCCTCCTCCTCCTGTTCCTCCTCCTCCCGGTCCTGGGGCTTAAACTCAGGGCCTGGCCACTGTCCCTGAGCTTCTTTTGTTCAAAGCTATAACTCTACCATTTGAGCCAGAGCACCACTTTCAGCTTTTTCTGTGTATGTGGTACTACGGAATCAAACCCAGAGCGCTCCATGCATGCTAGACAAGCACTTTACTACTAAGACACATTCCCAGCCCATCAGCCCTGAAATTCTTAGTTCAGTTTGGAGACATACTGAAGTAGAAAAGGACAAAGATTTGAGCATCTTGTGGGGGGAAGAGAGTGGGGGTCATGAGGTTTGAACTCTGGGCCTGGGCACTGTACCACTTGAGCCACAGCAACATTTCCGGTTTTCTTGAGGTTAATTGGAGTTAAGAGTCTCTTGGACTTTCCTGCCTGGGCTAGCTTTGAACTGTGATCCTCAGATCTCAGCCTCCTGAGTAGCTAGGTATGAGTCACCAGCTCATGAACTCTTTTTACCCCAGGCCCAGCCACTCCAGACTTCTATGCCCTGGTGGCCCAGCGGCTGGAGCAGCTGGTTCAAGAGCAATTGAGATCTCCACCTAGCCCAGGTGAGGTGCCAAGGTGCTCTGGGAAAGGATGAGGGTCAAAGGGTAGTCACGGCTTTGCCCCAGTGAAATCCTCTTCTGTCCCCAGAGTTGCAGGGTCCCCCACCTACAGAGAAGGAGGCCCTGCTTCGGAGGCTGGTTTGCTTGCTGGAAGAGGAGGCTGAAGTCATCAATCAGAAGGTGACTCGCGGGGCCTCCACTCTATGCTTTACTGGGACTGGGACTTTGTGAGATGGTGGGATACTGAGATTAGAAGCTGGATCCGGGAAGCTGAGAATAACTGTAAGTCCTGGATGGGAGAGGCTGAGACAGGAGGATCTTGAGTTCAAGGCCAGGCTGGACTATATTGTGAGATTCCTCAATCCCTAGAAAATTCCATTTCCTGTCATATACATGTCAATCATCAAATGTACGGTAGAGGGCAAAGTTGCTGGTTTGGCCTGGAGACCAAAAATGGCTCCTGGAGAGGTAGGGGCTACATACAGGCTCAGAATTTTCGACCGCATCTAAAGATATTCTTGGCTCTGATTGGTTGACCAAGAACTAGCCAGGGGCGTGGCTCAGCAATTCAGACCTATGACACCCTCCTGAGAGCTGTTGGCCTTATGGTGTGGCTTATGATTGACTAATGTGATAGATGGGAGGGGCTGAGCCTTAGCAACTAGGTGGGGCATGAACTAGGAAGCCACGCCCCAGCCTCCTATTGGCTGGCTGCTAGGTTATGCCTGAGATTCACCATCTCTTGCCTTTGGCAACCCACAGCTGGCCTCTGACCCCGTCCTACACCGCAAGCTGGCCCGCCTGTCAGCAGGATCCTTCTCCCGCCTAGTGGAGCTGTTCTCCAACCGGGAGAGCAGCCCTCACAGGAGCCGCACAAGCACCTCCTTGCCCTGTCCCGGGCCCCCACCGCCTTCTCCGGAACCCTTGGCCCGCCTGGCCCTGGCCATGGAGCTGAGCCGGCGTGTGGCACGGCTAGGGGGCACCCTGGCTGGACTTAGCGTGGAGCACGTGCACAGCTTCGCACCCTGGATCCAGGCCAACGGGGGCTGGGTGAGCCACCAAAGCGTCTCTGGGCCTCAGTTTACCCTACTGTAATGGGCTGGGGTGGTGGGGAAGGAGGCAGAGCTTAGACTTCCTTACTGAATTCCATGTTCCATTCATTCCCTCTGTGCTTTTTCAGCCCTGGCTATAGACCAGGCACTCACTACATATGCCTGGTGCAAACCACTGCTGTGTACTGACTATTGTGAGGCGACGGTGAGTGACTCACCCTAGGCCTCAGTTTCCTCTTTGGGAAGTAGGGAGAATGGGAACTGCTGGAATGTGATTTCCTCCAGGCTCACCTCTGTTCCTTCTGGAATCACCCCCAATAAGGGCTTTCATGGCTCCCCTCTTTGTGTGTGTGCTGGTACTCTAGATTGGTGGTTCTCTACCACTTGAGCCATACCTTCATGTTTTACTTCTTGCTGATTAGAAATAATCTCAAGGACTTTCCTGTCTGGGCTGGCTTCAAACCTCTATGTTCAGATCTCAGCCCCCTGAGATCTTATCCCCAGCACTGCAAATAATAATAATAAACCAGGCATCAGTGGCTCATACTTGAATCCTAGTTATTCTACTCAGGAGACTGAGATCTAAGGATTATGCTATCAGGGCAGACAGCTGAGCTGGAGGCATAGCTCAAAAGGTAGTATGCCATTCATGAGCAAAGAAGCCCAGCAAGAGCCGGGCACTGGTGGCTCATGCCTGTAATCCTAGCTACTCAGAAGCTGAGCTCTGAGGATCGGGTTTGAAGCCAGCTTGGGCAGGAAATTTTTTGAGACTCTTATCTCCAATAAAATACTCAAAAAAGCAGGAAATGGCGCTGTGGCTCAAGTGGTACAGCGCTCGCTTGAGCAAAAGAAGGTCAGAGGCAGTGCCCAGGTCCAGAGTTTAAGGACCCAGGGCTGACAAGAAAAAAAGGAAAGCTCCAGTATCTATCGTGGGTGCGTGTGTGTGCGCGCGCGCGCACACACACACACACACACACACACACACACACACACACACACACACACACACACACACACACACACACGAGGCTGGAATAGGATTTTCA